TTAGAAACGATTTTTGGTGATTGAATCTTTCAGAAGGCACTGAAAAGTAAAAATTACTTAGTCTTATTTTCGTAAGCTCTACAGAATTTGTTTTCAATACTTTGTTAGAGAATACAAATTTGTTCCTGTAAAAAAATAACTTTTTTTTACTTCTTTTATATTCATTTTAAATTATAGAGCGTTTGCATTAATTGCGATCTACAGCAAAACATACAGCACAAAAAAAGGTATTTTCACGAGATATACAACTCTGTATTTTAACACGGACGCATATGTGTGTGTGTTATCAAGTTGTTAGACTCACTGAAGAAGTTATGATAAAAATGGGAAGAAATTTTGTTAAAATCTGCGGGTTCAATGTCTCAGGTAATGATTTGAATTTTGACAAGTTTGATCAAAGTGAAAAATTTTAATAGCATTTTGAGTGCAGGACTCTTAGACAAAAGAATCCAGTTTTCCCACAATAATTTTTTTACATACATTTTATAACATGCTTACACCATGGAACATACTCAGACTACCATCTTATAAGGTTCAAAATGTTTTGCAAAAAATGTTGACGATTTATATGTGGTCACAGTAACGGCTCTAAAAAAATTATAAGGCACTCCTATACATTGTCGTGTCTGAAACGTATAATATCATCTTCTATCAGGTACAAATTAAATGTTTTTACTAACTGCCGTATGGATTAACGAACAATTTTTTGCTTTGAATCATCAAAATTAATCTAAGAACTCGTACAATACAAGTAATTACGCACGTACAAGTACTCCCACTCATAGAGACGTTTTTCTGAATAATATATTTTCAGCTCAAAGACTACCACAAAAATTTCTGAAAAATGGAAAAAAACAGTTTGATCTGTATGAAGAGAAAAATTAAATTCTTAAATAAAAAAAATTTTTTTAAGTCCTTAACATCTCATACCTTGTCCTTTATTTTACTCAAGTTTTCATGGTTTTCTATATGTTAAGCGATGTCGTACTCAACTCTCCAGTTGACTGAGCGTTTTATCAATAAAGTTAATTGTGTTAAAGTTAAAATATATCTTCAAACAAATTTATAAAACTGTAAATTTTTAATACGATTTAATGAGATTTGTCGTTCCTCACGACCATTAACAATTTTATAATGCAAATGTTGAAAATTAAAAAAGATGTCACAAATACTTTTTTTTGTTTTTTTGGTAGTTATGTTTACGTTTTGTTTCTCGAAAATAAACACAAAAAAATACCACTGCTCTTCGTGAGAGCTTGTTTTGCAATATCCGACTCTATCAATTTGTTGTTAAAAAAAATCATTTTGTAAAAAATGTTTTAAAAAATTTTTCTGGTTTCTAATAGTCTCACTAATTGTTTAGCTAAATTTTCTACAATTATTAATTAGGTTGTGAAAGGTGTGATCCTTTTTCAAAGTGTTGATCATAATGATTTTGTACAAACGGTGCAAAATAATTAAGCATTATTTAATTATTCTTTAATGATTTCTTACTTCACCAATAATAGTTATGTAGCCATCAAAACAAGGATAAAATATTAATTAACATTTTTCCCCCTATTAATATTATATTGTTAAAAAAAAATTTAATATCTACGAAAATCACTTAAGCTCCCTCAACTACCAATTTTTTTTTTTTTTTTTTTAAAGAACGTTTATTCATTAAATTAGTTGGATATATAGTATGTGTTTGGAAGTGTTGAGGACCGTACAAAATTTTGCTTTAGAGTATAACAATGGTGACACGCCTTTTGAGCTACATAAGCTTTCTTAAGGTGTAGAATTTAGCCTTACTTGGTACCTCAACTACCAACGCACTGTCTCCTCTCGTACTCAACGTGACATATGCTTATAGTGAAGCTCCAAGGCTGAAGTTTAATTATCAGTTCGTGTTATCTTTATATTAGTAATTGTGTTAAAGCTTAACTCACTGACAAGTAGAATTATTATTTTTGGGCGAAATATTTATTAATCTGTAACAACATAAATTATCGAAGTTGTAAGAATGATAATTTCATAGAGATAAAGTTCCAATAACCTACAGTAAATATCAGGGCTTCCGTTTCTATTACTCAATTTTTCATTTAATACGAGGAAAAATCAGTATTTAGCTGTGAAAGTGTTTACTACTCATTTAACTATATCATTGTGATCACTGCATTTTATTATTCTCCCTGAACCTCCTTCAGATAAAGTGGTACTATAAGATACTTTTTCCAAGCTTTCTTTTTTTTATGTATAATATGCTTGTTATACATAATTGCTGTGCGATCGTGATTTTCTCAGCGTAAAACATTTTTTCGAAACTACTCTATTGTGAATGGAGCAAGTGCCACCTACGTTATGGAGACCTCATATAATAGCTGGTGGATGTAAATTTTCGGAACCAAGAGACAGGCTACTTTGGCCTTTGGTAATTAATTAGATGTATTCTGCACTCTTAACATTTTCCCTTCATAATACTCCAGGAGACATGGTTAAAGCTTCCTTGAAATTTATTCTGCTCTACATTAAATTCAATCTTACAGTAAATAAGAATATTGATAATTTAAGAAACATTAATAGAAACAATTTTTGTACAAAAAACTTTGGTTGGAATTCTATCTTTAACATGACTTAGTTTCTATCCAAGTAACTTTGTCGAAATATTGGTTTTATTTCATTTGGATCTGATGAATATTTACTTGACTTAATAACTAAATATCTATACTTGCGTAAGCTTTTTACAAATCAGAACATTTTTGCAGTTTGAAACAAGTTATTCCTTCTAATTTTTTAAGAAAACATTACATTTGTTGTACACTATATTTTGTATAAGTAAATATATGATTTGGTTTTTTTCTGTTTCAGTGAGTGAAACGTATGACTTTCAAGCTCACTTACAGCCATATGCGTATGTAATGTCACGTTAATCCTATGATTAACAATGGTTTACCACACAGTTATCCTATAATTTTTCTTTCCGTGTGATAACATACAGTATATCAAGTTTCCTTCTCATACATTCACTTTTTTGTGTACTCTTGTCTGTAACGAACGAATCGATTAATTTTCGATTAAAAAGGGTTGATTGTATTTTCTAAACTAGTAATTCAAAAATTACGAGAATTTAATTATTCTTTGAAAGTTTGAATTACGTTTTAGAAAAAATTTTTTTTTATTTAATGTTAGTATGAGAGTAAAATATTTAAGTTGACAGTATTTACAACTTTAGGTATGATTTATTTTATTATATGTTTTAATCGTGAGGAAGTATTTTTAAAACAAAATACTTTTACAAAAACAATTAAATTATTTATTTATACAATAGATGTGTAGAATACATAAATTTAATACATATTTCCACGCAAAATACATTGAATCGCAACTAAATGTAGTAAAAAATAAAAGTAACGCTTTTTAGAGATCAGGTTCGTTTTGTTCCAACAAATGTTCAATAGCTATTCTTTGTGTTTAAAATTTTTACTATTTGACCATAAGAAATATTAAAAAACTAGACTTAAATGATAAATGATTTAATATACCACAACTAATATCCCAATTCAGACACTGTTTTAATGTGTTTAAACGAAGATTTCAGCTCGTATAAAACTTTAAACATCCACCTTAATATTTTAATATTTTTCTTGACGTAACGGGATAAAAAATATTTCAAAATCAAAAGATATAGGCATTTATAGTTGTGGGAACACCTTTTCATGTTTCGAAATTATTCATTTTGTTGTTTTTTAGAGTTTAAATAAAGTTCTGAACATGGAATGCAGGGGTTATGTTGAATACTAAATTTTGGAAACGACATTAATTATTTTCATGAGACTGTATGCATGAGTATAAGGTTCAATGAAAAATATTAAAAAAACAAAATGGAAGCCTGATAGTAGTTTGTTCATAAACTCATATATTTAAGGTAAAATTAATGTCTTGTTACTCTTTAGTTACTCTACTCTTTAGTTTCGGTCTCTACATGGTCACATGCTTTTTCTTTAATTTTTTTTATTGACACGTGTTACAAATAACAACTTAAAATTTTTGAAAATTTACTTTTGAAACATACAGAAATAACGTTACCACTAAGAACTTTAACTTTCCAACAAGTTTCAGTCATACTCTTTTGTTAGGTAATGACCGTCCAGATATCATTAAAGTAATCGACCTTATCCGTTGTGTTGTTTTAACGTATTACTTTTTATAAAGTTTTTACTTTAATACATGATTGATATAAAAAATAGTTTTTTTGTTCACAGAAAGAAAAGTTGACGTAGATTCTCTAAGTTTCAAACAATAAATCCAATCCAAATCGTGCGATCAGTCAGGTAAAAAACTTCAATAATATTCGGAGTGCCTTAAGAGACATTAACGATGTTTATTTTTAGATGATATTTTTTTCTCTATAACCTGATATTATTTTATCTTAGAAGTTAGTGAGTGGGAAATGAGAGCTTTTGAGACGCAAGTGTTTTTAATTTTTCGGTAATATTTTGACAGAAATTTTCTGAATACTATTAACTTAATATTATTAGTGTTTTACATTGTAATGTCTTTTTTTTCATGAAGAGAATCATCTGAAACTTATATGGTATGCTTAAGAAAATTAGTAGTAAATGTTGGCACAACATAAATAGCATCTTAAAAAGTATGATATCTAAAATTTCAAAGAAAACTATTTGAACACTTACATTTAAATAGAACTATTAAGAGTTGTATTAAATATTCTGTGAAATAATTATAATACAAAAATTTCCTAGTATTTACAGTTATAAAAATAATGTGTGGTAAATACAAAATATCAGCTTTATACAATATAAACTATTTTAATTGTCAGTTTTTGCACACTTTTTTAGAACCATGAGTTTTTGATACGTGTAAAAGTAAATTGAAAAAGAATGTGTATTTAAACATAATATTTACAGTTTTTTTTATACAGATTTAAATTTTATGGTACTTACTATTTTACAACAAATATTTTACACCACTGAACAGACTTTTGAAAGATGAAAAAACTAATTGGTTGGGCGGAAGCGTGACATATAGAAGTCACAGTCAGTACAGTAAATAGCTGGTTCACATACTTGTTTTTTACGACAAAGGTTGCAAGATATGACTCTTTGAGCAGGAGATTTTGTTAATGTATCTTCATTTACCATTAGGAAATCAGTTGAATTAATTGATGCAAGATAAATTTTCGGTTCTATTGGTTGAACTGATTTTATTTTTTTTGCTGGTTGCAACGGATGATGTGCTGTACATTTAGGATGTAATAAAATTTGATTATTCACGTAATTTTGATCTTGAAATAATAAATCTGTCTGTTGCACCATTTTTTGAGATAGTTTTTGAATATTTTCAAATTCCAACCATTGTTGATATCCAATTGCTAAGCTATCGTCTGGATATTGCTGATGTTGTAACTGTTGCTGTTGCATTTGCTGAGATAATTTCTGTTGGCAGTTTGCTACTTTATTAAATGGATGCTGATTTTGTGGTAGGGTTCGATTTAGTCTTTGGTGAGGGAGTGTTTGATAAGATTTATTAAAAAGTTGAGAAGTCTTAGGATAGCTTTCTGGAATAGAACTTGTGCAGAGTCCATTTGATATATCCGAATACTGCTGTTGTAATTGTTGTTGCATCGTACAAAGGCTTGAACTTTGGCTTTGAAATTTTTTATCTATATTCATAATATTATGTTGTGGCTTTTGAATTGAAGTTATAGTGGCCGATGAGTTTTGTAGTCGTAGATTACTTAAATTTTGTTGCTGTTGACCTAAGGGCTGTTTATTCATTTGATTATTTTGTTTTTTGAACTGATGGTCGGAATTAGTATTTTTTTGACTCTTGGTCTTTTGTTCTAGACTATTACTTAAATATTGACAATTTAGCAGTACTGGATAAGGATTTTCTCGTTTTTGCATGTGAGATAACTGAATATTTTGGTGTTTTGGATGTAACATATGAATTTGAGGATAACTACTTTGGCTTTGGATTAATATTTGTGATTGTTGCTGTGGTAGTGGATGATTATTTTGTGAGTTACGGATTTGTTGTTGAAATGGAGATGATCTAGTTAAGGGGATTTGTGCAAATTGAAGTACATTTGAATAAGTTTCTTTCACTATTTCTTTTTTTTCAGTATTACGAGAATAATCGATTCTTTTGTTATCATGAAACAATGATTTAATTGGATGTTTGTTTGTATTCGTGAGATCTGTATTTATAGGGATAGAGCTAATGCTTCCTAATTTTTCTTGGAATAGAGTGACAGGTATACTATTATCGTCGCATTTTAAAGGGAAAGTGTGTTGTTGGAGCTTCAATGAAGCAGTTGTTTCACAGTTTAATTTAGCTTCTTTAAGGTTTTTGATCTCGTGCAAAACTTGAGTTGTTTCTGGTTTATTTTTTGCAGAACGCAAAACTCTTTCTAAAATTGGATTGGGAATGTAGGAGTCTTTTTCGTCATCTTCGGTTGCTACAAGAACAACTTGATCGCAAAATGAGACACTTTTTTTTTTACTAACCGATTTTTTTTGCAGAATTGTGTCTTCTTTGCTAGGCAAAATGATTGTATTTTGAATTGTATTCTGCAAAGCCATTTCACTGATATCATTATCTGGACAGTCAATAGGTAAACCATTGTCATGAGGTAACGTTATTGATGTTGATAGTATCGTAGAATTGAAGCCATTGTGATATGTACTTTGTGAAGTAGTAAATGTACCTTGACTCTCTTTTAATTGAATACTTGAATCCACAGAATTATCTATACAGTCCTTTTTAGACTTACTAATGACAGGTACTTTATTTCTTAAGAGTCCTAAATGTTCTGATTCTTTAGAGTTTAGATGATCTTGCACAATAGTTACAAGAGAACTAGGAAATACATACTCTAATAACTTTTCATCATTTTTTCGTTCAAACTGAGCTGCTATTTCTTTTACAGTAGTTGCTGATGCTTGTAGATAATCAACAACATCCTGGTCAGTATCTGAATTAATTACTGTTTTTATCTTAAAATCAGCAGGTTTTAAATTCAAATTTCCAGGAGTTTGTTGCATAAAATTTGTCTCTATTGGAACTTCTTTCTTTTGGACGATTTGTTTATCAATGTTTCTTTGAGCTTGTTCAGCTTGCAAGCCTCTCAACCAAGCTTCATTCTGCACTATTTTCTTTTCTTTTATGCACGAATCATTTTTTTGCTTTTCTAATATTTCAAATGCTTTTAACTGTTTTCTACTCAGTTTCAATTGAGTCAGAAGATTAGTAAACTGTTGTTGCTCAAATTTATTCTGAGTTTGATTTTTATTTGATTGTTGAAGTAATAACTGTTGAAAGTTAGCAGTGTTGTGTATTTGAATATGATTATTATCTTTTACTAGTGGTGGTGGAGGTGGAAAGTCTTCACTTGCTTGCCGAGAGTGAGTGACTGATTGGACAATTGGGTATGGTGGTGGAGGGAGCTCTTCACTCGGCTGTCTTGAATGGGAAAAACTTTGATTTTCAGAGTAAGATATGAGTGCTTCATTACTTGTTGTTTGCTTATTGCTACATTGTTCATTATGAACATCAGCTTGAGTCACAACTAGAGTTGGATTATACAAAATTCCACTGGCGTATAGATTTTCGCCTTGAGCTTGAGTTTTGCTTTCATATCTTTTTTTTAGCATTTGCAGCGAGGAATCGTTTTGATAAATATCATAAGATGATACAAATGGTAAGGAACATTCCTCCGTAGAATATTTCAAGCAGTTTAAAGCTAGATGGTCCGTTTGCATGGAATGGTTAGCATTTGTGTAACTGCATAAGCCATTGATCTGTAAATAATTACTTAAAATTTTAAAATTATTAAAATTTACAAATGCTTCGATAGTATAAGTAGACATTATTAGATGGCTAAGAATGATTTACTACAATTAAAATTACATCCATACAATTTTTGAAAAAATTCCAAAAATATTACAAACCTGAGCTTGTGACTGATCTAGAATGGTCTCTTTAATGATCAGTGGGGAGGGAAATTGCTCTGCCTTTTGCTTACTGCCATGTACTTTAATCACAGCTTTGGACTTGCTTAGTTGAGAAGTAGTCCGAAGCGGTGGTGGAGGAGGAACCTTAGCTAGATGTAGTTTTTTGCCCGAACTGCTATGGAAACTCTCACTCATCATACGACTTTTTTCAGAGTTAAAATTTCCTGAGCTTTCATTACTGCCGCTATTACTACCCTCGAACTCTAAATGGCCCTCGGAAAGATTTCCACTCATTAATGCTAAAGCGTTTTTTCCTTTCAGACCAATACTTATGTCATCAACAGATTGTTTTGATAATATCTTACAAGAACCTTCAGAGTTTAACTTATTTTTTTCATCTTGACCTTTTCTGAGATCTGGCATACTCCGATTTTTCAGTTTGATCAGTCCTCCCATCATTAGTTTTCTTCTAATTTTATGCTGCTTCCGTCCTTGTTTTTGGTCACCTACAGAAACAGAACTTGAGGATAAACTTTTTGAACTAATAGTTTCTACAATATCTTTAGATTTTTCAGACTTTAATAACTTCGATATCGGTTTTGATGAAGAAGTTAATAATTCCTTTGCTACATTTTTATTGCGCTCTTGACTGTGAGTAGGACGTTGAGTGGAATAGTCTTTAAACATATATTCTTCATCTTCAATTACGTTAGCTGATGTTACTTTACTCTTTAAGGCTTTTTTTTTCGGCAGAGTAGCATAGATCTCAATACTTTTATTTGTTAGTTTATTTACTGTACCCGATGTATTGACTAACAGTTCTCGACTATTTTGTCTAGAGTAGTTTTCTTTGTCTCTCGAACTTTGACGTAAATGCTGACAAGACTTACTAGTTTCTCGTGAATATCTATTTTCAATCTTCTCTGAAATATATGAAATATAAAATACGTATGAATTTATGACTAGTAAAGTAAAAATGCTTCTTGTAAACAAACTGTTACCTTCTTTTCCATTGTAAGATATTAATTGCTCTTGCTTGATTTTTTTCTGTAAATAACTTATTCTCATTACGCAATAATTATGTTTTTTTTGCGCTAAGTCAATAGTATTTGAGTTACTATAAGGAATATTCATAGCTTCCCTTGCCTTGCTACCAGCAGCAGTACACAGTATTACTGCTCTTTCAAGGTTACCAGCTAACTCTGCAACTTGCGCTATTTCCATAAGAGCATCCATTTCTTTCCATAATTTCTTACAATCGTCTGTTAGTACCTGCTGGTCGTTTTCTGGTATTTGTGCAAGCTGTAAATAATTAAGGGTATACTTTTCATTTCAGCCATGTAAAGAATTTTTTTTTGTCTTAAACACATAAAAATTGGTGTAGTTTAAAACTAACATAAAAAAAACTACTTTGAAACAAACAGAAAATAACCTTATAACAGTAATAACTGACTAAACAAATAATGAACCTGCAAATTATGCTTCAACCCTTGTTGAAGTGGAAGGCTGTCAGTAGAAGACAATGAATAAGAATCATAACCACCATCATGCTGTCCACTACTGTTGCTGTACAGCTCTCCAGATTTGTTGATCGGGCTCTTTGATAAACCAGCGTCTTTTTGCATTTTATTTACAGTGAATAAGTATGGATTGTCCATTGTAGTTGAAGAACTTGACGATGCGCTATTTCGATCTCCTGACCAGTTTCCTGAATCTCGCCACCTTGGTACATTTAAATGCTCTGGAATGCTAATTCCATCTTGAGGCATGGAACCTGTTCTAAGATTATGGGCTAGCTCAATACTTTTCTTTTGGTGGTGTACAATACTTTCAACTGTTTTTCTACTTATATACGTTGACTCACTGCTGACATCATTGATTTCCTAAAGTAGCATAAATATAGTTGTGTAAAGTAATTAAATATCTATATGTATTATGAAAGTATATAATCAAATCTGTGTAAAATTTTCTTGAGTTAAATTCGTGTAAAACACTATCCTCACCTTATTCTCTAATTCATTACATTCAAAGTCTCGTAAGTTCTGATAATCTCCCAGTGTTTTCTGCTGGCTATGTAACGCATGAAATTGGTTGTCTGAATCTGGTGTGATAGCTCGCCTAGGTGTACTTTGAACTGACGGTTTTTCGGGACTTGGAGTTATCGATCTTTTTATGCTATTATTTTCAACCATACTCATATACTTTTTACTGGAACTTTCAACCATACAGCTTTCGAAAAATGATATCATCGCATTTGGTTTGTTTTCCGTATGGACTGGAATATCACAAGGAGTCGCGTAAAGCAATAATACTGGCTGATATCGACCTTGCTGACACTTGTCCACAACATTATTCCAACTTGGTCCAATTGCCTTGACAGTGACATCGTCAAAATTGATCCACACTTTCAGCTTTGAGTGAAAGAAAAAAGTGGAATAATGTTTTTCATAGAAGGTGATCATTCCAACGAGATTGTGTGTCGTTAATGTGGCCCAGCGCGTGTCTACAACGTTGTGAAACACGTCACAGAGGCGTAATGACGTACCTACTGTAAAAAATACATCCATAATTTGGTCGAAAGAGGGATTCTTGTTGTTCCAGATGACACCAACAGAAAAAACTTCAGGATGATTGATAAGAGTTCGATGGATTTGAATTTTTGCACCACAGGAATTCTATCAAAGTAAAAAAATGAGTGTTATATAAAAAAAATACTTTTTATACTATTAGTTTTAAAGAACGTTTTAAGTTTCTTTCATAATTGATTTTTAGTCCCACTCTAAAAATTTCGTGATATCTGTCGATTACTATTGTAATTAGGGTTGAAACTTATTTTGCAATAATTTTTTTTTTTTTTAATTTTATGTAAATAACTATCGACCGTCACTTTCAAATATAAGAAACTGATTTGTTAAGTGCTTAGAGAAACATGATGTGTGCAATTTAAAAAACTGCTATATTTACTTGTGAAGCTTTGACTTACAGAGCAGTCACGAATATTTTCCATTCCACCAGCTCGTCGTAATAGATGACCAAACGAGTCTGAATTGCTTTGTGATGTTGGTCGTAAAGTTTGGCAGGCTTGTGAAGTAAGCGCTGATGCTGACACATAGTGTACCATCTGTAAACAATAAGAATGGAAGAATGTACTAATTTTTTATTTTTTTACCTCAACTATGCTCAAACATAAGTCTTAAATCACATTGCATTGGGTTCTTTTTTTTATAACATTTAATGGCCGTGTTTTTTGGCCAGTACCAGTATAAGTATATTTTGTAAAGACGGTTTCATGCAGTAAATAACAGTATAAACACGGAAATATGTTTTTATTAAAAATTGCTATTGATTATTCAGGTACTATAAGATATCCTGTGTAATAATAAAAGTACATATATGCGTAAACACATACATTAAGAACTACTATTCTCGTATTTTTTCATTAATCGTTGTTCTATAAACAAGCTATGTATAAAATATGGATCCAGTAAACATAAAATAATACATTTAGAAAAGCTTACTCAACATAAGGAATAGATCCATTACTAAAGAACTGAAAAGTGGAGGGTAGTCGGAATACCTACAAAGCTATAGTAAAAAAGACAAACTCACAGAAAAAATATTTTTAAAAAATTAACCAAACTGTTAGTAAGAACTATAAGTGGAAAAGTCGTTACTAGGTACTCTTGTACGCGTCTTTTCTCCTCTTCTTCGAAAGTAATACCAGTAGAGACATTTTTCATTTAATTACAGTAACATATTGAATAATACTTTGCGCACATGCATCTATTCATGCAAAAACTTTCTCCACAGTCTCTTCAATCATCAATCAATTATCAGCCACTGAGCACTGGTTATAGATTGAGAATTATAGAGTAACTCAACACTTTTCTCTCTGTGACCTGCAATTATGATAATATAAGGCCATGCTATCATACGTAACTTACTGTTTTTGTGAACGAGTGCACCAACTACTTCGCAAGGAGTATGCACTTTACGCATTTGTATTAAGACGTATGTTACCAAATTAGTGCATGTATGATTTTTACTTTCATGTTATTTTCATCCCCACTTCCCTTTAAAAAACCAAATTAACTCATGCCAGAATCACTAGCTTTAGTTTCTCGTAATATAGTATATCAGTTTGCATAAGAAAATTATGTAATATTTTCTAATTTAGTTCTGGATTCTCGTGCGTTACACCTTATACTTATACATTATTTAATAATTTTTGATAATAGTGGTAGGATTTTAAGGTGTTTGTAGGACCACTATTAGTTTCGAACTGACCCTGACTATGATTACGACGTACCTCGCATTATGGCTGTAAGTATGATGGTAATCCTTGCCAATACTCAAGCAGGTGCTATAATTAGTCGCTATCTGAAAATCATTACCAGGAAGAGCTGCCTAAAACATCAACTATGGCAACAACTTCTTTTCTAGATAATCAACTCTAGAACAAATTGCCCAGGAGATAAGCTCTTTGTCTAACTAGTGTTAATAAAGCCACTAGAAGATAGGGTAAGCTAAGAGGTATGCAGTAGTCTCGTTGCTGCCTAGTGCACTCAGATTAATGTCAGAAAGCTATATTATTATATAGAGGTAGAAATAGTTTCAGTTATTCAGTATCTAGTAGTATTAAAGGGCGATAGCAGAGTGCCAAGATCATGCTAAAAAATCTTGCATGATTGTACGCAAGCAATTATTGGCCTAGTACTTACGTGTTGTTAAAAATCTGAAGCTCAAAAATACACCATGCAAAGCTCAAAATACGTAATTTATATAATACAAATACAAAATATACAAAATAAATCATAAAATACAAAATAAATCATAAGCTCAAAACGCTGGACCTAAATACCTAATCTCCAATAACACACTGCACTGAAGATTTTTTTTTATGCTATTAAGGAGGCTCCAACAGGAGGAGTTGTGAGGTCGTAGGTATTTTTTGATCAATGGAAGCTCACTGATTCTAATGATGTCCTGATTTACTCCTCTAGCCGTGAAAATTTTCAAGATATTTATTCTTAAGGTTTGCAAAGTATACACAACCTTCCGTCAAACAAAGTGAAAATATCTTTATATTTTGCAATCATAATCAACGAGTTAAACCTCATGACAATGACTGTTTTATAAACAAAACTCTAAGATTTGAGATGGTACCTCGCGAACATAGATTACCGTGGAAAAATTCAAGATAGTCTGTAGAGTACTGATCAAGTCGTATTATTAGCAAGCTCAAGGCATGAAGTCATCTAATTTTTTATCAAAACGTAAAAAGCATGCTTTTAAATTTTTCAAAAGTATGATGCAAGTGTTCACGAAAGAATTGTATGTCATCAAGCCTTATTCAATTGTGCACTCATGTAGGTTATTTACCGTTGAATTTTTTTATAATACAACGAAAGATAATAAATTTTTAAATAGAAAGTTTTTTACTTTACTTTTATCATGTACTTGTATTTAAATATTTAATATATGACCATTAAAACACCAAACAGCTAACCCCCAACAACCTAATGCACCCGATTCTTAGGCTTGTCTTAAATTAATAAATTAAATAAACTGGAAGTAGATAATCCTAAGTAAGACCATACTCTGGCTTGTTTACGATTTTATTAATTCAATAAATAAATATTTTGCGAGCCTAATCTCCAGCAGCACTATGCACTGTGTGATGGAATCCTTTGCTCATCAAATCAGTAATACAGATATTACCGATTTAGTATGCGTACTGTTGAGACTTTGATGCAAGCCACTTCGATTGTTTTTTTCCCCACGTAGCTTCTCGTGTTTAAGTATCACCCAAGAAACTATCGGTGAGATACCAGGAGTCACCCGTCCCACGAGGAGTCCAGCTTTGAGATCGACATTGACGAGATCCCAGAAGAGAAGAAGCTCGGGAAGCTACAGGGACATGGTTAGAGTTTAGGTATGAGCATCAAAGAACAGTAAGAAAATTTGCGGAAAAGAGTAGTAAGAGTGAGGGTGAGTACAGAATTATGACATAATGTGCGGAAATGCCAGGTAGTGCGATATTTTTGAAGTGTGTGCTAGAGAAAGAGACCACCAAGTTCATGGAACGTGAGTCGTACGAGTGCACGAGATAAGTAAAGTACATAACAGTGTAGTGCAGAGAGAGAGAGAGAGAGAGAGAGAGAGAGAGAAATCCCCACCCATATTTTGTTACCCTCTCAGAGTGCGCCTATATGTGAATATCACAAAAACGCGATTAGGCAGCGTCATTTTCAACATTGAGTTATTGTTTGTTGTTTTCGTTTCGGTTAGACAATTATGTATTAACGTTTTGACGTTTATGATAAGTAACTTATCACGAAATTTTCTATTGGACTAAGTTTGAGGATCTAGGCAGCGCAGATTGCAGAACAGAAATCGAAGAGAGTTAACGTATAAATTTCTTTAGTGCGAGACATTTGGGACGATCCAGGATTTAGCGCTTTAAGCGTCGGCTGGGATGAATTTTCCTCATTATAGCTGGCTTGGTCAAGCTTTTATTTCTTTAATATGTAAAAAAATATTTTAAGCGCCTAATCCCCACTTGTAATGGCTTGTTTGTGCTTTTATTCATTTAGCAATTAAATGAGTGTCTTAGTACTTAATTTCTAGTCACACGATGTGCTAATTTCTTCGCGCTTTTGATTATTTGAGTAATAAAAAGATATCAGTGATATGATGAACTATCTTGTTTGTGTATTTATTTAATAATGAAATAACTAGAGGAATTAGTTCTGAAAAGAATCTACAGAAACTAGTCTCTACTAACACTATGTGCTGACTTATTTACGTTTTACTTATTTAATAAATACAAGTCTTAAGCACTTTATACCTAGAAACACTACGAACTAGCTTGCCCACGCTTTTTTTATTCAATTAATAAATGTCTTAACCGTCTAATATCTAGTAATAGGATGTACTAGCTTAACCATGCTTTTATTCATTTCATAAATAAATATCTTAAGAGCCTAGTCCTCAGTTACAGTATATGTTGGCTTGTCCGTGATTTATAACTAATAATTAAATAAATATGTTAAGCACCTAATTTTAGCGTCTTGATGTGCTGGTTTGCTAGCACTTTTATTTATTTGATAAATAAATTAATATATTGAGTGCTCAGTCTACAGTAAACTGTTGCGCCCTATTCTTAGAATTGTGTTTACTTATTCGATTTTATAATTAAAAACTAGCTCATACCCACTGACCTACAACCTTATCTGCACTCATTTAGTTACTTAAAAAATAACATCTTAACTAGCTTATCTCCAGTTACCTGATGTGATTATATGCCGGCGTTTATCATGAATTGAATGATAAAAAAACTCCAATATGCTAATCCTCAAAGATCTGGCGCGTTTGCATGGCTTCAGTGATTATTTGTTTTTGAAGACACGAAGGCATGTGTGATGAATTTGTAGTTATCTGATTGGCTTACTTGTTAGTAGTTCTTGTGCAAATTACAAATTAAAATCTAATTTTTATTGACTGGAATAATCTTTTAGAGAGCAAGTAGTTCATATATTTTTGGAGAAAAAAAACATTTTTTTTAATGTCTTCAAAGAATGTTATCTCGTGCTTACCAGCAATTTGATATTTACAGTACATACATGCAACTCAATTGGCTTAGGAAGTTATAAGAAACTAGTAAAAAAACGAATGCTGCAAAATACAATGGATGAGTAGGGCAAACTTAGAATTCATAGCGACTCTCTGCACTGAAATGTATTGTGACAAAGGAGAAGGTAAAAATTTGGTTAAAATATGTCATGCTCATCTTATAATACCATCTAATCAATAAAAGCCTCTATCCGTTAAAAGTAAGAACACATGTATATGATGAATAAATGGCAACTTAAAACATCACCAGCCATCTAAGGTCTTGGCTTAGTTGGACAAAATGATTGTTCTGGACTTGATGTATTTTTTTCTTAAGCATCTTTATGTAACGTTTTTTTAATCTATTACACTCAACATTCTCACTTATACTATAATAATGAGGTTAGTTTGCGTGCTTCTTTGTAAAATTTAAAAGCCATCAGGTGTTTGGCATGCAAATCGCGCAGAAGGTTAAGCCCCACTAGTGCATGTAGTGTATATAATATA